GGTATAGAGCCCCTTTCTGGTAACCCCTCTGTGTAAGCTGACCCCCCCCCCCCCCCCCGCAACTGATTGCTCTGCAGCTGCATTCCTGAACTCCTATCTACCTGCTACAGTTAAGCAAAGCCTGATTACAGTCATCCGGGCAGCTTGGGGGAGGACAGGGAAAACAAATGTTTGTTATCCATATTTGTAAATTCCTGTTTGACATGTATCTGTAAAAAATCCTGGTTTCTCTCTTTAAAAAAAAAAAAACAAAACAAAACTACTGCCACAAAAGTCACAGGATGATGTATTGCAGAGCTGTCACAAGTTGACAAACTACCTCTGTGCCCGTTACAAGTGGATAGATGACCTCAGTCCTGAAACTCCCTTATGACCCTCTCACCCCATATAAACCCCTTGTTTTGTAAGCTTGGGCTGCCTCCTCTGATTGTTACAGAGCAGCCAGCAGGTTAATAAAACTTGCTTGCCTGACTTGGGGTCTATTCTCCTTTCTCTCAGCCACCCTTACACTTACCTTGGCCCTGGTACGGGCATAGGAAGTGCACGATCTGGTAATGTCATGTAGGTGAGGATACCTGTGTGCCAGGTAACCTCAGGTGGACATGGTGGCGCTTGTGGGGCAGTCCTGTAACCTGCAGTGTGGTGGGTGGGATGGACCATACAGGCAGTAATTACCCCGATGGCTGTTGAGGGCCCACGTGTGTACTGGGTGGGGGCCGATGGGAGTGACAGGTGAGTGGCTGGGCATGGGCAGGTGAGTGAGTGAGAGCCATACAAACCCCACCACTAAGCACGTCCCTCCCAGGGCAAAGCAGATCAGAGCCACAGGCCCAGCCCTGGGAGGCCCAAGGGGCCTCAGGTCCTCAGGGAGCCTCCTGGCCTGCTCTGCCCTCAGAGGACCCCACCTCCTTCTAGCTGTGGGAGTGGGATGGGGACACAGTGCTTTGGGGTCCAGAGAAGGAAGGTAGATGGAGGGAGGGCGGCCCTCTGCTCCCAGATCCTGCTGCTCTGCCCCCTGTGGCTCTCCTGGAGCCCACACCTTTGAGCTGCAGCCTCCCGGCCTCCATCCCCAGGATGATGCCACTGTTGATGGCTTTTCCCTTTGGGGAGGGTCCCCAGATTATGCAAAGTGTGGAAGGTTCCCCTGTCCCTGTCCCACAGGGCCCCCCACTCCTGGCCTCCCCCATCTCTCTCTCTCTCTCTCTCTCTCTCTCTATCTCAGAGGCAGAGAGGCAGAGGTGGAGGCAGCATTAAATTAAAATTTAATTTAAATGTTAAAAAGGAAGTAAACTGCCCAAATACACACCAACAGTAGACTGCTCTGCCTTGCATAGAGAGGTCCATTGCCCCTTTGGGTGGGCAAGGTCAGGGCCTAAGAAGAGCCTCTGGGGAGGGGGCGGGCTCACGCTCTGATGGCTGCGGGAGGAGCGACTCCTCCCAGGATGAGGGTCTCTGTCCTAGTGCTCACTCAAATTCAGTATTTCCAAGTCCTCCCAGGGGGCGTAACGCACATCAGAACGGCCGTCATTAGTGTCACAGATACGTGTCCGCATGCATTTCCAGGAAGTCTCCTTGGCCGGCGAACTACAGCTGGCATAGTCCAGCCTCAGGGTGTTCTGTGAGCTGTAGTCTCAGCAAGTGGGTTCCAAAAAAACCTCAAAGACCATATAATGTGGACAGCGTAGCAGTAGGGTTTGGGAAAGACAGGAGCCTGTTTGCTAGTAAAGGCGAGTGCTCGCGTGGTACCAGCAAGCGCTCACTGCCCACGCCCCGGGAGAAAAACGTTTGTGTGAACGCACGAATGACCGGAAGAGTTTGCCACGGCCGCAGGGTTTTCTGGGAAGTGTAATTTCTTGGTCCGGGCGTAATTGTCCTTACAAGTAGAGGGTGTCCCTTGGTTCCGAGGTGTATCGTTCACCAGAGGACGACTGCGTGCCCCAGGACACTTCGCGGGTGGTCCTAGCTGGCTGGCTCTGGTACAACAGCCCCAGGCGGTTTAGTTTCTTACGAAGCCGAGCCCGATTTGCCCGCGGCCGCAGAGACTCCTGGGAAGTGTGGTCTTCCGGGGCCGGCGGTTCGCGGCACTGGGAACTTTTGTCCCCAGCGCGGATGATCCTGGGAAATGTCGCTCGGCCCTGGGCGGCGCTCTGGGTCCGTCCTGCCGTAGCCTCGGTCCTGGCGGCGACTTCCTGACTCGGGAACAATTCTGAGCAGTGTCGTTCCCGGAGGTCTGCAGCCGTTGACCGCTCACCAGCGACGCTGCGGTTCAGGTCCGCAGAGGTGCGGGCTCGGGGCACCTGAGGGGACGGTGAGGCCCCGCTGAGGACTCCGGCAAGTGTGGGTCCTGGGGGCGGCGGCGGGGCTCGGGTCCTGGGTCGGCCCGCGGTGTGACCCCCACCGGGGTCTTGGCTTTTCCTGGCCTTCGTGTCCTGCTGTGTAAACACGGGGTGATGACGGCGCCGACCTCTTGGCACTGTTGTAAGGGAGAAGTGGGCGCGAGAGCAGACGCCAGCCACAGTTGTTTTTGGGTT